CACCCAGCTACCCAGAGGTCTGCTGCAGTGGCCGGGGTACAAACCCCGACTATAAGATGGTGCTTTGTTTTCCTTTGTTACCAGCCTGTCTTCACTTCTGTGAGAATCTTATAGAAAGGATGATCAGCTGGGCAGAGACACCGGATTCCTACTTTTATTACCTACGATGGCCTTCTCCAGTATTCTAGATCCCATATTTTCATGGAGTATGAAGCTAAAATTACAGAACAGTGTAAAGAGTCTTGATGCCCCCCTCGCTGTTTGTATCTTATGATCTGAGTGGACAATTTACACCAATTTACATGTTTCATTTCCAGGTGAGTGATATGTTATACCAGAAAATCCAGATTTATAAATAAGGTATTTCTTTACAGTGAAATGTTTTAATTAAATGGCTTGTTTTAAAAGTGCTGTTATGTCAAGAGCTCTCATGCATACCAACTGCTGTGCCATACAAAAATGCACCCTCCTCAGGGACATTACATAACTGAACCATAGGTCTTGCCTTGAGTATTTGGTAACACTTGGAGAGAAAGCCATTCAGTTCCCTTATCCTGGAAATGCTGAACAAATGTAGTCCAACGGCTTTCATGGTATATTCAGGATCCTAAATTCTGGTTCTCAGCTGCAGGCCCTATGTCAAGTTTTAACAAAAATCAAATCGTGGAAGTCGTGGAGGTCAGCGGGATAGAGGGGAACTAGCTTCTAACTATGAGAAGTGATAAATGTCTTCTCTTTCTGCCTTCTTAGAAAAAAGTGTCAGAACAGTGTATCTAAGCTCAGAATGAGAAGCATTTGTGCTTGACCCACAGTGGCGTGTGAGCTTTACGTAGAAAGTAGACCCAGAATCTGAGCATGAAGACAGCCCAAAGTCGGCATGCCACCTCCAACGCTTAGGTCCAAAAGGTTTTATTTTGGAAGTGCCTGTCATTTGGCTCCAGTCACCCTCAAGCTCCTAGAGAACAACATAGCTCCTAGAAGGATAGCATCAAATACTTCTAAAGGCATCTCAAGCCATGTCAGCCTGGTGTTATAAAATCAGGCTTTTAATATTAAACATGTAGTCTGACACAAGTGGGACCTGCCCACAGAACTGCTTGTTGCTGTGTGCCAGGTCCTGACTCCAGCACCTGAGAAGCAACCAGACAACAAACTGCCGCTGCCCAGAAGAGGCTCCAGGGACCCAACAGAATACTTTCAGGGCAGGAGGTACAGGGCAAGTCAGATGAACACGTGGATCATGTGTCTCAGATCCATAGTTTCAGAGAAGAAGTAAAAGGTGCTGATGGGCCCATGCTCAAACCAACAAGCAGAAGTTATGACCCAGCCATCGTCTTGCCCACTTCTGTTACTTGACTTCATAGACTGAAGGGGCTCCACTCACTCCCAAAGAACCAGTTGATTGGTTAAAATCTCACCTTTGCTGGCAAAGTGAGAAAGAGGAAACATGATGGTCCAGGGCTTTGATGGCCAAAATTACAGGTAACTTTGTAAGTTAGAGGGGCTTGGTCAGGTGTGTAAGCCCATCCTAGAACGACTCTTTTTTAGAAGTCTTCAAGTGTTATGGTAATGTGACAGCTGTTCCCCATTTTCTGTTTGTTAACCCCATTTACCAAATACAAACTTCTATTTTCTGAGAAATTCTAAGGGAAAGCCTCTAGACTTAGAACTAGTAACACCTCTGTTTTAAAGATCTCTGATTTGGAAAATAATCTTGTCCTCTACGGTTCATAATTACTTGAAGTGAAGAAGTTTACTTCAGTCATGTAGATCTGCTCAACTATGTAAAGTTTGCATCCTACCTGATGTGATTCTACTTTAAAAACGAAAGGTTTTTATTAGAATTGAAGAAAAATTACTCAGATTTTAAAGATGGGCTTCAAACCAAGACATTATTTGAATGACAAGGGTTCCAGATCAACCTTATGTTTAATTTAACATTTTCAGGAAAAGGAGAGGAGGAATAATTATGGTAGTACCTTTACTGGGTAAGATGAACGTTGAAATAAATAGAACTAATCCTGCAGTAGTGTCTAGTCTAGAGCATCAGATTGAAACTGCTCTCCATACAAATGTCCTGTCACAGACCTCTGCTGTGTTTGTCTTCCTTACACTGCTGGTAGCTTTTCCTCTCTTTCCCCACGTCTGCTTCCACCAGAAAACGATTTCTAAAAAGTTTCATCTAAATAAGGCCAGTAATATAGTAGGTCTCTCTGCCCTGAACAGATTGAACAAATATTTCAACAATTTAACAAATAATTTAAGTACCTACTGTGTGCCAAGCTATCCTCTTTAGGTTATTAGACAGTATAAATGACAGACATATCTAAATGAAAATGTTGTGAAGGGCAAGTGTCAAGACAGACCTAACAAGTAACATTTTAGGATGAAACCTGAAGTAAGAGTTAGTGCTAGCCAGGCAAGAAAGAATAGTATGGAAGGAGTTTTGTTCATTTGAGGACTGAAAGAAGGCCCATGAGGTTGGAGCCTGGATGACAAGGCAAGTGAGTTTATGAACCATGTGGAGAGCTTTTGTGATTGGATCTTCAAGCGCAGTGAAGGGCTAACATCCATTCATATAAATCGTAAACTGCTCAGTGAATATTTTTATGCCTGCATTGTTTCCTAATACTTAACAGCAGTAGCAACTTTTTGGACAGAAGCTCTAGATTTGCTAATGCTGCTTTTTTTCATTGTACGATGTCCATAATGAATTTCCTCTGATCTGAGGCCCTGTCCTACAGGGAGAGCCCTCCCTTCATTCCACAATTGCTTAATGTTTGCATTCAGTAGGAGGAATAGATGCTATTTTGTTTGCACAAACAACTGTAGAATGAACTCTTTCCACTTTAACTTGAGATAACAAAGCCACAAACATTGCAGGAAACAAAATAGTGCAACGGGTGGTATATATGAAGTGATAGGGTATTTAAAATCCTAAGAAAATTTGACACAGTGAAATGTATATAATTTGTTAAAAGAATTATCCCTTTTGAGATGGAATCTCACTGTCGCCCAGGCTGGAGTATAGTGGCACAATCTCAGCTCACTGCAACCTCCGCCTCCCAGGTTCAAGCAATTCTCCTGCCTCAGCCTCCGAAGTAGCTGAGACTACAGGCGCCCCCCACCACGTCCAGCTAATTTTTTGTATTTTTAGTAGAGACGGGGTTTCATCATGTTGGCCAGGCTGGTCTTGAACTCCTGACCTCAGGTGATCCGCCCACCTTGGCCTCCCAAAGTGCTGGGATCACATGCCCAGCCCAAGATTTATCCTTTTAACAGATATTTTAGAGAGGATTTTTCCTTCTTATACTGGATTCCCTAACTAGATGTAATTTTGCTCCTAAGTATGAAGATGCTTTATCTCTAAAGAATTATCCTTTTAAAAGATACTTTAGAGATAAAGCATCTTCATACTTAGGAGCAAAACTACATGTAGTTAGGGAAACCTGTAAGAAGGAAAAATCCTTTTTAACCGTACCTACAAATGGCACACCATACTCAAAGATATACCTATACAAATCTCCTGTAATAACAAGGAAGTATATAAATAACAAGAAGACTTAGAGCAGTTGAAATCCACTCACAAATGCTGCAAGCAGTGGTTACTCCCTTATGCCTTTTAAATATGTTCAATTCTGGTTTCCTCAGACCTTGGCACTAATGTTCCCAGTGGCCCTTCCCAGCCACGGCAGCCCAGTCCCTGGGAGTTATCTGTCCGAGTGATGCTTATCCCAGTAGACTCAGTTGATCAGGAAAAACAGACCTGAGTGAAGGTTGGAAATGTGTTCAAAATAGACATGCAAGCTGAGTTGTCTCCTGTATGCTTCGTTAGAAACCGAATCCTAGTATAAAGCAATAAATTAATATGCATATTAAGCTCTTGTTTATCATCGAAGCATTCCCAAAGGATTTGCTCAGCATAAAAGGATTTGCAGAGTTCAGGGTCTCTGAGGTGTGAACTGTAAGCTGGCATTAAGATTAAAATGAATTTTTTTTTTTTTTTCTTAAAGATCATGAAGCACTGATTTGGGCCTGGAGGTAGGGAGGGAGCGGGCTTGGTGCCTGCTCAGTGAGAGCTCCTGAGGCTCTGGATCTCCCTTCTTGCAGTTTCCCTGCAGCTCTCATGCCTGCTGCACCTGTTCATGCTGTTTATCTTCAGACTCAGACTGGCTGTTCATATATTGCCACAATGTCATGAGGATTAAGAATTTGGAAGCTTTGGCCAGGCGCAGTGGCTCACGCCTGTAATCCCAGCACTTTGGGAGGTCGAGGCAGGTGGATCACGAGGTCAGGAATCCAAGACCAGCCTGGCCAAGATGGTGATACCCCGTCTCTACTAAAAATACAAAAAAATTAGCCAGGCATGGTAGTGGGCGCCTATAATCCCAGCTACTCGGGAGGCTGTGGCAGAGAATTGTTTGAACCTGGGAGGCGGAGCTTGCATTGAGCCGAGATCATGCCACTGCACTCCAGCCTGGGCAACAGAGCGAGACTCCGTCTAAAAAAAAAAAAAAAAAAAAGCTTTGAGCTTTCTGGAAAAGTTCTATATACATTTACACATTGTAGCTCTCCTTGGATCTTAAGCTATGCAGAATACATTAACTGAGAAGACAGTTCCTTCTGTTTGTAGCTGGAAATTTGAGATAGGCTATAGTGTCCTCCCTCCCAACTTAGGACCTTAACAGAAACGTACAAATGGGGTATGAAAGAGAAAATGTTCAGACAAAGCCAATTTAAGTTACATTTTAATAGTACTGAAATGGAAGAATTGTCCACTTTTTAAGTCCTCAGTTGTCCTAGGACTTTTGAGGGTTAAGAGGTTTTAACCCTTTCTGCTTTGTGTGTTCTGACCTTCCCTGTCAGCTTGTGTAAAGGAAGAGCCCTTTTGTCACCTCAGTCACTGATTTTGCATGAAGCAAAGTTGGAAATACTTTTCTTAAGGTGGACTTTCTTAGAATTTTATATTCAAGAACAAAAATGAATCAAAAGCATGGAAATACTGATATGACCATAAATATTTTTATTAAATGTGAAAATACAAGGGCATAAAAATAGTACCCATATTTGTAGACATGTCTGAGACCCATTTCAAATATTAGGTTCCTTTTTTATTAAAACACTATATTGAGATGGATTAAGTTACCTAGTCTTTTCTCATTCAAAACAAACTAAAACCTCATGGTAAGAGTAATATTTTCACAAACATCTCCAATGTTTACCTCCTCCTTGCTCGGCTTTCCACTGCAGGTAAGTGTTTCAGCCACAGACAAGTGCAACAAAACCGGTTACTATACACAAAGCCACGCAGTGGCTAATTTTACTCTTAAATCATTCAGCAAATGAGATCTTCTGTAAACAAAAAGAAAAAACCCCAAATAATCCCACCTCTTAACGTCATTTGAAATTACAGGATAAACTGCCACTAACAAAAAAGGAATGATCTGATTTAGAAAAAGGATATTAGTTGTTGGCAAATTAACATTTGCCTTCTTCCTTTATAAATTTGGAAAAGTCAACTACATTCAACAAAGTTGCATGAACTTCTCTAGGTTATACCATTGCCGTGTGCTCGATGAAAACTTTGCAACGCCCATCACCAGGGCCCTGTGTCTGTAACCTCACCAGGGAGCCATTTTATGTAGTTTTTTCATGGTAAATGTCAAAGACAACTTCTGATCCATTTAAAGGTGAAATTTTTCATCATCCATGGTGAGTAGAAAATGGTATCAATTTCAAATTGTGGTTTTATTGGCTACCTTTTTTACATTATGTTTTCTCCTAAACCATGGGTAGTTTTAAAATTCCATCATCAGGGCAACAAAAATTTGTTTTCATACCAATACTTTAAAAAAGATTTTTAATACTGACTAAAGACATTGTAGAATTAGTAGTATGTTACATCCGATTCACATTAGTAAGCTGTCGAGATTTTTTTCAAGTTTTCATCTATTCATGGTAAGACAGCACAAACTTTCAGAACTGAGGAATGGGTTAAATTTTGTCTCCCGTTTTGGAAACTTTTCACAGTGCTTCTAGACTGATATGTCTATTACTTCCTGCTGGGCAAAATATCCACAAAGTACAGACCCCTGATAACTCCACCCATGGAGCTCACCAAAAAGGAAAGAAGAGCAGAATATAACAGAGCTATGGCTAGGGTACTCCTCTCTGATTTCACTTTTCCTGAAAGAGCCATAGAGGTTGCCTGATGGCCGGGCGCGGTGGCTCATGCCTGTAATCCCACCACTCTGGGAGGCCAAGGTGGGCAGATCACAAGGTCAGGAGATCAAGACCATCCTGGCTAACACAGTGAAACCCCGTTTCTACTAAAAATACAAAAATTAGGCATGGTGGTGCACGCCTGTAGTCCCAGCTACTTGGAGGCTGAGGCAGGAGAATCACTTGAACCCGGGAGGCATCCCTGCACTCCAGCCTGGGCAACAGAGCAAGACTCTTGTCTCAAAAAAAAAAAAAAAAGTTTACCTGGCACCTGCAGTCCCCAAGGGAAAATGAAAGTAGTACGGTTTTACAATGGCTAATGATACCCTACAGTCAGGCAAGGGGAGTGACTATCTCTTTAACATCCAGGCTGCTGCTCAGTCACCGTTTAGGGGAAGCAGGGAATGACTGTCTTTCCATTTGGGTGGACACCAGAAAATTGCTAATGGCCATCAAGGCTGAAACTCAACAGTTGTTACTTTCTTCATGAATCAGCAAAACAGATTGCAGAGAATTCATTTCCCTCCATGGCACTGGTATGTGGCACCAGAGCTGCTTCTCTCTCTTCACTGAAAACAGGCAAGTAACTCTGCACATCAGTTAAGATGACTAACTTAAATCCATGATAAGAATTTAGAAACTGAAACTATGGTTGTTACAGGCGGAGAAAAAATGAAAATGCAAACAAGCCTCTGGGCAGCGGGTGGGAGGTGGCCAGGCCCGGGACACGTCTCCTGTGCGGCCCTTGACCCCTTGTTGGCAACTGTCGTGCTCTCCAAGTGGAGGGCAAGTGATTTGATATTTCCTTTTTTTCTGATTCTATATGAAAATTCTTTTCAAAGTAGGTAAAAGCCATCACTATATTTCAAAGAGGTCAGTGACATATACAAAAGGAAAGAGACTGAAAAAGATATTGCTGACATAGCCAGTAGTGAGATTACTAAATAATAGACAGAAATGCCTTGGAAATTATTTTTACACTGGCTTGAATCGAAACATTGAAGCAAAATGAAAGCTGCAAGGTGTTCACTAGTTTTCCAAATGCACTGTCAAGTTTATTGGTAAGAAATAGACTCCTAAATAGATGCAGAAAGCACTTAAATGTTTTGCTCAATTCAACTATGTGGTTTTTGTCTCCCAGTTAAAAGTTTGTCCATGTATATTTCAGGATAAGACTACGAATGAAAACGGTTTGTGCTTTGCTGTTATGGATGTCTGTGGTCAGGATGCCTCCCACAGTGAATTAAAATGCTTGATTTCATTAAAAAAATTAGACCCTTTAATGGTTAAAACACTTCAAAATGCTTTGAGGCAGAAACAAAACCTTTCCAGAATAAAGGTAGCAATTCCTATCTAAAGTAATTCCCTCAGCTTTCAAATGCAGCATCAAGAGTTCCATAAATATTCAATATTCTTGATTAAAGTAACATTTTTTAGGGAAAAAGCATTCAGTATACAAAGACTGAATAGTTCACTTCTTAAACAGTATCTTCTTAAAAGGTAAGAAGAATGTATCTCAAGAGGAGATGTCATCTTATTAAATGAAACAACAGTGGAAATACAGCCAGACCTGACTAAACTTGCAAGCCTGTATTTTCTTGTAGGCAGGAGAACATCAGACGCATCAAGATCTGGTAAAAGGGCAGGCCTACTGTTTAACACATACCAGCAGACAAGTCCCATGTGGGAGGCACCAGAGACCTTTAAGATAAGGTCAAGCCTTGGTGTAAGAGAAGGAGAAGCTGCCAACTGTCTTTACTTAAAAGTGGGAACCATGGCATTCTGTATTTATTTATGTTGACTGTGCAACTTTACGTTTCTAAGCCAGTCTTGTTACATGAAATTCTCTATAAAAACTCACAACTTCAGTTGTTTAAAAAGTATTTCAATCTGCACTTCAGCAATATTATTTTAAATACCACCACTATTTTATCTGAACCTATTTGACCCATAACTTTTAATTTGTTGTGTTTAATATTAAAAGGGTCCATAGGAATTTATAGATTCAAGTTTCAGTATTCTTCAGGTACTGAACCAAAAAAAAAAAAATGTACATTTAACATTAATCCAAAGTCTAAGCCTGGATATATTACCATTTGGTGCCAGGGTTCCTAAAAGATGGTCTCTTGCTCCTTCAGTGACAGCCATGTTGACAGACCACAGAGGTGTAAACACATGCACACTAAAGCTTTCACAGCTACTCACAAGTGACTAGACCACATCGAAGCACAGCTCAAAAACGTTCATGTTCTCTACTAACCATTCTCATGAAGATTACAGCTCCTTCTTACATTTGTAGGCACAGACTTACTCTGCAAGGCTGTGAAGAGAAGAATCTCAGCTCCAGTGTAGAAAAATACAGAATACGTGAGCACGTCCACAGGTGAGCCTGCCTCAGACCACTTCCTCCACACAGCATAGAACAGATGCAGGCTGCTCTGTCAGAAATAGAACCATTCCTTGCCTCCCTGCCATTGCAAACCCATTAACCATAAATCTAACAGGGATAAGAACAGATTTTTTTCCTATTAAAGCAACTCTTTGGTCATGGACAAACAAAGATTTGAATTCTTTTTTCATTAGGGTCCCGGAGGAAGATTTCTTTGTTTTTAATCTTTAAAAAAATTAAGGAAGAAGAGCAGAAAAACAGTTGGTTTAATTGAAGTGGAATTTAAATCGAAACGGTCCGCCTGAGCTGAAGGGATTGAAGCCTTGCCATGAGTTCCAGCTTCTGTGGAAAGGGTTGCCGCCGCCTCCTTGCTGGCTCTCTGCATCCAAGGGATCTTCTCCGTCATCGAACTTCTTTCTCATTTCTAGAAAGAAATCAGAAAATTAAGAACCAGATAATATCTAAGGTATAGGGGTAGGGGGAATGTTTTCTTTGGGCAAAGGAGGGTGGATGGGCTTGAGGAGCTACTTACTTTTCAGTTACTGAGAGTTGTGCCTGACATTCAAATCCAGGCTCTCCCATTCCCACCCAGAAGAAACAGACTAGAGAAATTCACCACAAAGAGGATGAGGTTCAGGCCCCTAAATCTCACTCCAGAAGCAGCTACCCAAGCTTGGTAACTACCCAGTGAAATTATCTGGAAAAAAATAATTCAAGAAAAAGAAACTTCCAAAGGTCTACACTTCCACTGAAACAGGCAGCTCACTACCCTAATCCCCAAAATGAAGTCTGTAAGGCAATGACCTCAACAAGCGTCTAATGAGCATTCTCGAGACTCAGTTTAATCCAAACAGCACTAAGGCTCCTCAGACATGAGGGGAGAGGGGCCTCCATAACATCCAACTCCAGGAGACTCACCTTTCCCTCCCATGCGATTGGTGCCCCCACAGCGGGGCCTCTGAGTCCTGAGCAGAAAGAGACCAATGCAGAGACATGGGAGAAGGCAATAGAGAGGAATATTGCAGGGATAGAAAGAAAGCGCTCTTGTCCTCAGAGCCATTAGAAAAACCCTGGAAGACAACCTAGGCAAATACTATTCAGGACACAGGCATGGGCAAAGATTGCTTTTGGCGTTTCCATCATGAAATTGCAACAAAAGCAAAAATTGACAAATGAGATCTAATTAAACTAAAGAGCTTCTGCACAGCAAAAGAAACTATCAACAGAATAAACAGACAACCTACAGAATGGAAGAAAATTTTTGCAAACTATACAACTGACAAAGGCCTAGGAGGAACTGAAATGTACAAGAAAACAACTCCATTAAAAAGGGAGCAAAGGACATGAGCAGACACTTCTCAAAAGAAGACATATATGTGGCCAACCATCATATGAAAACAAGCTCAACATCACTGATCATTAGAGCAAATAATTAGATCATTATTGCAAATAAAAAATGGCTATTAAAAAGTTTTTAAAGATGCTGCCAAGGTTGTGGTGAAAAAGGAACACTTACACACTATTGGTGGGAGTGTAAATTCATTCAGCAATTGTGGAAGACAGTGGCAATTCCTTAAAGACAAATACCATTCAATCCAGCTATCTCATTACTGGGTATACACCCAAAAGAATATAAATTGTTCCATTATAAAGACACATGCACATGTCTGTTTATTGCAGCTCTGTTCACAATAGAAAAGACATGGAATCAACCTAAATGCCCATCAGTGATAGACTGGATAAAGAAAATGTGGTACATGTACACCATGGAATACTATGCAGCCATAAAAAATGAGATCATGTCATTGCAGGGGCATGGATGGAGCTGGAGGCCACTATCCTTAGCAAACTAATGCAGGAACAGAAAACCAAATACCACATATTCTCACAAGTGGGAGCTAAATGATGAGAACTCATGGACCCATAAAGGGGAACAACAGACACTGGGGCCTATTGGAGGGTGAAGGATGGGAGGCGGGAGAGGATCAGGAATAATAACTAATGGGTTCTAGACTTAATACCTGGGTGATGAAATAATCTGTACAACAAACCCCCATAACACACATTTACCTATGTAACAAACCTGCACCTGTACCCCTGAACTTACCAAAAAAAAAGACTTGGCATATAGCTAGGTTTTTTAATAAATGGAAAATAAAGGATGCAGAAAAAATGCAAATATAAAAATAATCCCAAGTCCCACTTTGCTCTCTCACAGTAACTTGTCCTTTAGCGGTTCAAAGATACTTAGAGAAAAGCCAGTTTACTCCATTCTGGGAGGTTAATCTGAAACCACACATTTAGGAGGAGGAAACCCACCAGTAAAAATGGAGGGCTCTTATGCTGAGTATGAATAACTAAGTGGGTATTGTAGTTGATCTGAAACTCAGCTTTGTTTTACAAAAGCTAATGCAGTTAGACTCAGGCCCCATATCTTTGATATCTCACAGGCAAAATTAATCTAGGGTGTTAGCACTTAGAACAGTAGTGAACTACATAGGGGGTGATAATAGCCCCAGAGAAAGGATGCTGTGAATGGAAAGAGAAGTGAATTCAGCTATATCCACATCATGTAATTACTTAAATATTCAATGGAGTGGTCTGCATACATTTCAAAGAATGAGGTAACTATTTTTCAGTGAGAAAAAAACTATAGCCAAGATTTATGTCAAGTGAAAATTAAGTTTCAGATTGGCATAATCATGTGATTCTACTAAACATATTCATAAATATATGATACATGTGTTTTGATATATGCATAGTAAAAAACTTTAAAGTCTTTAAAAGAAAAGATAGTTCATCCTGAACATAAGAACAAGAGGAAAGAAAAAGGACCTGCAGCTCTTTCCTCAGTGCATGCCTCTGTGCAAGGACACTCATCCCCTCCGTTGGCTCCCTGCTACCTTAAAACTTAGCCCAAAGTCCCCCTCAGTCCTCCTCCCTTAAGAAGATCCTGACTCCCAGTCTGATACACTATCACTTCTGTGCACTGCACAAACTTAAGAGGATTGAACTGCTCAAGGCAGGTTGCAGCCACTCAATATTTGCTGAGTAACAGGACAGTATGTATCCAATACTACTTGATAAGGGAAGTACATTTCTCCTTTACTGGGTTATAAATTACTTGAAAACAAAGCATCATTTACCTTCAATTCCACTGCATAAGTAGGTGCTCCAAAAAGATTTGACAAATAAAACTTTCCTCTCTTTGTTTAATTTGTCTAGCTCAGATCACAGCTTTGGCTCCCACTGACATGGAAGGCCACAAAAAAGCAGTGTCAGCTTAACATGAAATTCTCTGGCAACAGCAAAGCATTGTCCAATATCACCTCAATGCTTAGCCTGTCTCCCTCTTATTAAATTTCCAGGCCATATTAGTGTACAGCAAAAGAACACACGTGGCCAGGTGCAGAGGCTCACACCTGTAATCTCAGAACTTTGGGAAGCTGAGTTGGAAAGATCACTTTAGCCCAGGAGTTAACGACCAGCCTGGGCAACACAGCGACACCTCATTTCTACAAAAAATAAAAATTTTAAAAAAACACACATATAAGCCTGTTGATCTAATGATCATATGATTCAGGGCAAGATTCCTGGTGAACAGATATGGGGCATAGCAGGCCCTAGGCCAGATATCTGCTGTTCTCCCACTCAGTGCAATCCAGCCTGGCAAGCTGGTTTCCTCATCAAGCTCCTGTGAGCTTGGTGGAGAAAATTCATCATTGACCTTTGAGGTTAGAGGGAACCTGAGAGATCCTCTTATGCTCAGTATTGAAAAAAAAACAGACCAAAAAGTTCTGATAACTTGTTTGAGTAGGAAAAAGATTCAAACTCAGGCCCTCTGATTCCACATTTGATGATCTTTCCACTGTACCCTGCAACAGGAGCATAAGAGGGCTGAACGAGGAGGGCAGGCATACAACTGGACCTCTGGAACCGGGCTCAGGACCCGTCACTGCCTATGCAGCCCCACATGCAGAACCCACCGCGCGTTCCCCCCTCGCTTCTCACACCACCTCTAGGACGAGTCAAAGGAATAAAACATAATAATACCTGGATCAGAGAGGACTTCTTTAGCAGCTGCTATGTCAATGAACTTTTTCTCAGCTTTTTTCTTTTCTTCTTCATTCTGGAAGTTATCTGGGTGCCACTGCAGTGCTAATTTTCGGTATGCTTTAATGATTTCTTGCTTTTTGGCATTTCTGAGGGGTGGTAAAATAATAATTAGTGGAGAAATGTCTAACATACTATCATAAAAATCAGAAGAGCTGATTAAGATCCCACTGGCAATTAACAAACTGGTTCTATAAAATAGTTCCAATGGTATCACAGACCAAAGATCTGCATACAGTTCTGGATGATCATTAAAGCTGACATCAGGCTTCCCTGGATGCTCACTGAGATTACTGAGAATAAAGCACTCCTGATCTTGAGAATTTTCCCTTTTTTAAAAAAGGTACATCAATGAATTTTTTAACTTTCTGAATTTGCAAGTTACCAAAATTCAATTCTTGGCATTAAAAAGATATGACTCTGACCGCCACTTTCAATTATGTTTCTGCATTAGCTTACTTCATAGTAAGCACAAAGATTCCAAATTTTGAAAGATGATGGTTCACTTAGTGAACCACTGAGGGGTGTATCATTTACTTAGTATGTACTTTTATATAAGGTAGATCTTAATTTCAGACTTAATTCTGAAAGTACTACTTTATTTTTAGGCCTAGAGAAGGCTTTTTCTTCCTTTTTCCATCTCCTCCTCCATCCCCACCAAAAGAAAGCTCACTCCTACCCCTTTACCCTTCTTAAAAAATCCAGGCCTAGGACCCACTCATGCTACAGTGTCATCTTTGTTGCCAACTACTAATTCTCTGTGGTTGCATTATTGGTCTCTATCAAAGAAACTTGCCTATAAAATACTCAAAGTAGCTTTCTAATGTTAAAGATTGTTAGGGTTTAATCCATATGACTGAAATTACATAAGTAAAGAAAATGAATCAGAGAGGAAAAAAAGCAATGATTAGCTTTGAAACAGAGTTGATTAAAAATAGCAAAGTAAATTTTAAATTAATAATTCACCTTTTTACTCCCAAGATCTTATAATAATCTCGTTTCTGCGACTGTTTCAATAATCTTTGTGCTTTCTCTAGACCTTCTCGAATCTGCTGATCGTTTTCATTGTGTTCCTGAGCAGTTTCATAATCCTGAATCGCTGTCAAAATATGTTTAAGATAATATTGTTAAGGCAAATTATAATTTGTTGCCTTTTCTTACCCTGTAAAATTGATGCTAAAGTCATCATCCCCCAACCCCTTCACTCTTTGGTCATTATTGCCAAAAACCTCAAGTGATACCCCGTTAGTAACTTTGATCAAGAATATTTAAAACAGGCTGGGCACGGGGGCTCATGCCTGTAATCTCATCACTTTGGGAGGCCGAAGGGGGCGGATCACGAAGTCAAGAGTTCAAAACCAGCCTGGCCAACATTGTGAAACCCCGTCTTAAAAAAAAATACAAAAATTAGCCGGGCATGGTGGCACATGCCTGTAGTCCCAGCTACTCGGGAGGCTGAGGCAGGAGAATCGCTTGAACCCGGGACGCGGAGGTTGCAGTGGCTGACATCGTGCCACTGCACTCCAGCCTGGGTGACAAAGCGAGATTCCATCTCCAAAAAAAAAAAAAAAAAGGTTTAAAAGGCATAATAATTAAAACTGAGTTTAGGTAGTTTATTATTCTCATTCAACAAAATGTACTGCTGTTTTGGTCAGTTATGGATTGACAACAGTGCAGAAGAATTAGATGTTTAGAAAGGGATCAGGAGGTGTGTTTGGTCAATGGGAAGCTAGAAAAAAAGAATTATAGAAAGAAAGGGAACGGAAGGAGCGGTCCACAATCTGAATGACTCAGTAACCGACAGGCTCTAACACTATTACAAACCTAAGTGTCAATCAACATACAAAACACATACAGTCCCAGTACAGGCAGTCTGGAGACTATCCACATTACATCTTTTGTTTTATTACACAGTATTTAAAAAAAAAAAAAAAAATTTAAGAGACGGGGTCTCTCTCACTTTGGCTCACTGCAACTTCGACCTCACAGGCACAAGCCATCCTCCTGCCTCAGGCCCATGAAGTAGCTGGGACTACAGGCATGCACCACCACGCCCAGCTAATACACAGTATTTTAAATACTTAGAAAATACAAGGCACCTGGGTATCTAATACCATGCAGAAGAGTCAACACAGCAGTCTCGAGACTACTATCCGTAGAAAAGTCTGCTGACAAGGTTGGCTTACTGCTGATGTTTGGGAAGCCAGATTTCAGGAGTGCTCCCAACATTCCATGGTAAGAATGACTCATGGCTGAACTGTTTGTATGAAAAATATAGTTTATGCTAAACATCTTTCCTTCTGGGAGTCTGCGATTTTGGTGCAGGCCAGGCAGAAGGTGTCTAGTGACTAATCCCCAACAAAAATTCTGGGTGCAGTGTCTCTAGCGAGCTTCCCTGGTAGACAACATTTCACACATTGTAGAATTTCTCATTGCTGGAGAAAGTAAGCTTGTCCTTTGTGGCATCACAGGGAGAGGAGTCCTGGAATCTTCCGCCTGGTTTCCTCCAGACTTTCCCCCTTCCACCGTTTCCCTTTGCTGACTTCGCTTTTTCACTGGAATGAAAGCCCTGAGTACAACTATATGCTGAGTCCTGTGTATCTTCTTACCAGATCACCAAATCTGGAGATGGTCTAGCGAAGCCCCCACTCAAATTTTTCTCAATATTCTCCCTGGATAGATAATTCCAATAATAGATTGCTGGGTTCAAATTCTTGTTTTTATGAAAATGCATTTCACTAGGAGAAAAGACATCTGAACACTCATCTTGGCAACAGCTAAACACAGAGGGAATGTAAGACACCTTGGACAGATTAAAATGAGAAAGATATTGGGGTAAGACTGAGACAGCCAAATGCAAAGGGGTTCCCGGAAAACCTCCATCTGCTCTGCACGCTGGGAGGAGTGCGCACTGGGGTGGAGCCCCAGGAAGTTCGCACCATTTGCAGTGGGGAGGAGCCTGGCCCCTCCCTCTTCTTCCTGGGTGGAACCTGGGATTCAATCTGCAGGGTGGGAAGCACACTAGCTGGGACTTTGGCCTTGTAGACAGTCCCTGTTTCCTTTTCACCCAATAAATCTTGCCCTCTTCAAATTGTCTGTGAGCCGAATTTTTCGTGGCTGTGTGACATGGACCCCCTGTCTTTAGCTGAACTAAGGAAAGAGTCCTACAACAAGACTAACAAATTTTGACAGGCTACACACTGCATAGAAAAACCAACCGCCACCACCTTTGGCTCTGTGGCACTGGGGAAGGGGACCCTTCCATCTTTTATCCTAAAGTGAATTCTCCCATCAGTGCATCATTAAACTAAATGTTCCTACAGCCCAACCCACGGGGACGTAAAAAACTTCTCCCAATTTAGTATAAAAACAAAACCATCATAAATAGTAGTAAGGTTTAACTTTACAATTAACACCCATAGCACAACACACAGCTTAGTAAGGAAACAGACCTTGAAGGAATACAACAGGAAAATGTTTCAGTATATACACAATTTTGCGACTTGTGCAGACTCTACATTTAAAATATGTTTTCATTCTTACATGTTCAGGGTATCTCCCTAAAGCAGTCTTTTGTATCGTATTTGTGTTAGAATTTAAGGTGAACACATTTCCCCAATATAAGACAAAAATGTAAAATTATAGGTTGTTTCCTATATTCACATAATTGCAGACAACTAATTAGAAACCTAAGTATGGATAATGTAAGACTTCCCACAGATATACCTAGACAGAACATTTTAAATTACACTTTCTCAGACTCCACAATCTAAGAGACAATCTAAGGGAAAAAAAAAAAAAAACCAATAGACAAAAACAAGCAATGGGGAAAGGACTCCCTATTTAATAAATGGTGTTGGGAAAACTGGCTAGCCATATGCGGAAAACTGAAACTAGACCCATTCCTTACACATTATACAAAAATTAACTCAAGGTGGATTAAAGACTTAAATGTAAGACATAAAACCATAAAAACCATAGAAGAAAACCTAGGCAATACCATTCAGGACATAGGCATGGGCAAAGACTTCATGACTAAAACACCAAAGCAATGGCAACAAAAGCCAAAATTGACAAATGGGATCTAATTAAAGTAAAGAGCTTCTGCACAGCAAAAGAAACTATCATCAGAGTGAACAGGCAACCATCTGACAAAGGGCTAACATCCAGAATCCATAGGGAACTTAAACGAATTTATAAGAAAACAACCCTATCAAGAAGTGGGCAAAGGATATGAACAGACACTTCTCAAAAGAAAACATTTATGCAGCCAACAGACATATGAAAGAAAACTCATCATCACTGGTCATTAGAGAAATGCAAATCAGAACCACAATGAGATACTATCTCACACCAGTTAGAATGGTGATCATTAAAAAGTCAGGAAACAACAGATGCTGGAGAGGATGTGGAGAAATAGGAATGCTTTTACACTGTTGGTGGGAGAGTAAATTAGTTCAACCATTGTAGAAGACAGTGTGGTGATTCACCAAGGATCTAGAACTAGAATTACCATTTGACCCTGCAATCTCATTACTGAGTACATACCCAAAGGATTGTAAATCATTCTAGTATAAAGACACATGCACAGGTATGTTTATTGCAGCGCTGTTCACAATAGCAAAGACTTGGAACCAACCCAAATGTCCATCAATGATAGACTGGATAAAGAAAATGTAGCACATATACACCATGGAATACTATGCAGCCATAAAAAAGGATGAGTTCATGTTCTTCGCAGGGACACGGATGAAGGTGGAAACTAACACAGGAACAGAAAACCAAACACCGCATGTTCTCACTCATAAGTGGGAGTTGAACAATGAGAACACGTGGACACAGGGAGGGGAACATCACACACTGGGGCCTGTGTGGGGTGGGGGGTTGGGGGAGGGATAGCATTAGGAGAAATACCTAATGTAGATGATGGGTTGATGGGTGCAGCAAATCACCATGCCATGTGTATACCTAATGTAACAAACCTGTACATTCTGCACATGTATCCCAGCACTTAAAGTATAAAAACATACACACACACCCCCATCCAATGTTTATCCCATCACCATAACTGAAAAGTAGAATAAGCCAGACATATGTCAGCCCTAGATAAAGAATACCATGTTACATATTAGCCAATTCATTTTCTAACCTCTGAATCTAAAAAATCTTATCTATCCCAAATTACTTTTCTTCTATATTCCCTTCACATTCCTAAGGAGCAATCACTAGCTTAGGATGGGAGACGTAAGCACACACGTTTGCCTACCCTCCTTGCCACCGAAATGACGAAAAGTAATATAACCATAGCAGCACTGAAGACAACAGCAGACCAGCAACTTTGATAAATTTCTGGAAGATAGAAAGTGGGAGCACATTAGTAATAAACCTAAGTAGAGAGAACCATAATGTAAGCAGACACTATAAGAGGCCCTGGCAGATCTGGAAGCCATTATCTTTGGCCAAGGACCCTCAGTTTGGCAAGCAGAAGTAGCTATAAGGCAACCGTCAGGATAGTCCGTGAGATGACTACGGGATGGCTGGGCAGGCTCTGGCCCCTGTATATGGAGCTGCAGCATTAACCCCTACTGTAAGCAGAGTGAAAGGTGTGCCTGTGGAGCGCCCCTGTAGGGCACGCACACCTCTACAACAAACCTGAAACAAACAAAAAGTGGTCCCACCCAGAAAACCAAAGTTAAATAGATCATTTTACTGACCCCCTGATCAGTTAAATGAGTGAAGCAGGGCTCATCAGGGCAGCTGGGCAAGTGCCACCAGGGACGTTCTCCAGTGAACAGGTCCTATTCACTTACGGCCTGCCCTGAGCTCCCCAGCACAGACCAGCATTTGAAAGACAGGCGCACACAGCTACAAGTGATTCCCTCTCTCACTCTGCCAATCCATTAGCAAGTTCCAGATCAGCTTTCCTTCACAATATAGCCATCGTTTAACCACTTCTCAGCATTTCCATAGTTAGCACTGTGACACGGGCCACCATTCACCTGAATCATTAAAACAGTTTCCCAACAGGTGTTCCCAGCTTCCACCCGATTCCCCTAAAAGTCTACTCTCAATGCAAAGAGATCCTTTGAAAGAATATAG